AACAGAGATTCTTAGTCTGGGGTTCGTAGATACGCTCCCCTGAAACAAGAAACAAGATGAAGTATTTACTCGGTGGAGTTGCATGTGCAATATACTGCGGAGAAAGTGCATAGCTTTCATCAGCTTCTCAAAGGAACCTGAGACCCCTTAACGCCTCAAAACTACTGTCCTAGATACTGGTCCTCTAGCGTAGCTGAAGGACATGAGAGTTAAAAAAGATCCTATTTCACTCTTACTCAGCACCTTCTAGAAGTTCATGCTGACAGGAGGTTCTAGCCCAGCAGTTGCTTCTTTTTTATAAAAACCAAAACAATTGTTGGAGGTGTCAGCGTCAAGGACAGGTTTTAGCAGGAGAAGGTAACAGTATCTCTGAGTCCCCTCCCCAGGAGCCACTGCTGGCCACCCTACAGTCCCCGTCAGCACACTGCATGGCGCAGGCATGTGCACAGGGCTGGGTTTCAATGCGTGGGGTTCAATCCTCGATCTGTTACTTTCTATTGGTTGCATGACCTTGGTCAAATAAATGCTTCCCTATCCTATTTTTTTCATCTATAAAATGGGGGAAATAATAATATCCTCTCAAGGGTTATGAAAGGATTAAATGAGATTATGTGGAAGTAGTGCATGACACACTGTCACCTATCTGAAACCCTTGGAAACAGATGTGTTTTGGAATTCAGGTTTTTAAGAAATGTAATATATTGCTATCCTCTACATTATTTAATACCACCAGCATAACCCATAATAAATGGATATTTCTACAGCAAAACTATGAATATTCACATTAAGAGGGATGAACCAAGATTACAGACAGCCTCATGTCAATTCAGGACAGGTTCTGCCACCCCAAAATGTCAGTTTTCAGAGCATTTTGGATTTGGGGATTGAGAATAAGCAGCTGTCAGCCTGTTTGGAAGAATCCTGCTTTCTTCAGTTCCCAAGGCCCTAATTCTTGTCATTGCTGAGTCACCAACCTTGGCTTGTCCTCATACTTCTATTCTCTGTGCATTGGCGCCGGGCCTGTGGCTGAGCTGGTACCCAGTGTATTTCTCTTACCATAATGCTCATTTGAACCGTGTTCCGCTTGACCCGTGGCTCCCCTCTCCTACTATGGTTCTGAGTGAAGAAGACTCCTCTCTTCTCTTGGCTTTGTCTCAACCTCTCCCAGTTCCCGAGGCAATCTCTCTCCCACAGCTCCCCTGTTCCAAGGGCTGTCCGTCTCCTGTTCAATATATTCTCAGAAACTCTCAAAGTTACTCCCTGTGACGTTGGCAGGTACGCTGGTGAGAAGAACACTCTTCTGGAGACAGACGAGACATTCCTTGGTTTCATTCAGGTATGCCTGAGAGCTGCTTGAGAGGAATGACGTGGCAAATCCTCCCGGACGGCACTCTGAGCCTCTCTCCCCCACTCCAGGGTGTCCCAAGAGAAAGAAGATGGACTCCAACGTCAACAGAACAGCCGAGGGGGACACTTCTAGGGGCTCAGTGACAGTCAGTGGCAGGTAGGAGCTGCCGAAGGCTACCCTCATTATACTACCTGGCTGTGGGAACACACGGTTTAGTATTGGTGGTGCAAAGGGGACGATCAGACATATGGGGGTTTGATTTCTCCTTGTTTCACATGCTGTGTGACCTTGGGTAAGTTACTCTAAATTCTCTGGGCCTCAGCTATAAAATGGGGATAACATTACCCACTTGACTAGGGCTGTAATTAGGAGTATGTCAGCTAACCTATATAAATGCCCCAATAATTATCCAGTCCCTTCCTTAAGTGCCCTTCCCTAGACTTTCCCTCACTAGTCCGGGAGACCCCTGAAGGGCAGGAACAGATCTTCTCCTTGTATTTATTTCTAGCGTAGGCTCTGGCCCATAGCAAGCAAGCCTGTAATAAAGTAGTGAATAAATGAATGCAATTGTTTTTGCAGTTGGTAGCACACCTTTAGTTCCTGCTAAATCAGATATCCACAATTTGAGAAGAGGAAACTAGGGTGAGGATGCCTGAGCCAGAGCTTCCTGGTCCAAATAACCATGTTTCCCTCTGATGTGGATAACAGAGGTAGACTGCACAAGCTCTTCCACTCAATAATAATGTTTTCTTTTTAAAATGGAACTTTAAATTTTATAGACAGAGTATTACATCCTAGTAACTAGAATGAAAAGTCTTTCTTCTACTCAACTGTCTCATTTAATTCTTATTACAACTTATTTGGTAGGTAACGTTGTTTCCATCTTACAGCTACAGAAACAGAGATCTGTGTTCATAACTGATGCTTATCATTCGTATTAATATAATCCTAACCAGTGTATTCTTCCTTTTTCTTCCAGGTTTATTGAGCTATAATTGACACACAGCACTTGTAAGTTTAAGGTGTACAGCATAATGATTTGACTTACATATCATGAAATGATTACCACAATAAGTTTAGTGACTATCATCTCACATAGATATAAAATTAAAGAAATAGAAAAAGATTTTTTCCTTGCGATGAGAACTCTTAGGATTTACTCTCAACTTTCATATATAACACACAGCAATGTTAATTGTATTTATCATGTTGTACATTAAATTATATCCCTAGTACTGATTCATCCTATAATTGGAAGTTTGTACCTTTTGACTACCTTCATCCAATTTCCCCTCCCTCCAAAGTGTTGCATTTTTAAAAGATGTCTCAATTTAGAGTAAGACTTGAAGATCTACTACAGCTCAATACCTCTTTCACTTATCCTCAACTATTATTAATTAAATTAATTAATTATTAATTTCACTAATCCTCAACTATTATTAATTAATTTAATTCTAGCATTCTCTTGGGTTCAAGCAGATGATAATGACCAAACTAATTCTAAAATATTTTGTACACCCCAAGATTCATTTAGGGCTTTCACTGGTTTTGGAAATTAAGACACCTTGGATTTAAAAGCTTATTCAAGCAGCTTTGCATATAGTTATTCTTCTGTTTTCTTGGACTAGAGAAGAAACTAAATGATTCCAATTTATCAATATAGAAATCAATGATGCTGTTTTTGCAGCATTTTTAATTAGCCTCAGTTCCTTATCTGTGAAGGGGACACTAACAGTATTTGCCATGCTTATGCGAGACACCCGTGGAAACACCAGGGCTTTGCCAGCTGTGAAAAGCTGCAGCTGCTACACGTAATGTTATTGCGATAGACTGCCGAAGGTCCTTTCCAGTGCTAATTTTCCATAATTCCAAGATTCTGTAGTCCAGCAGTAAACAAGGTTTTTACTTACAATCTACATTTTTCTTTCTGTCTGATCCTTATTTTTGCTATGTCTGAAAGAAACTTTGGGGAAAAAAATGCAGTGCGCGTGTGTGTTTCTTTTTTCTTATAGTACAGTAGTTCCCACCTTACCCAAGGTTACACTTTCTGAGGTTTCAGTTACCTCTGGTCAACTGCAGTCTGAAAATGTGAAATGGAAAACTCCAGAAATAAACAATTCTTAAATTTTAAATTGTGTGCTGTTGTGAATAAAGTGATGAAATCTCAAGGCTTCCAGCTCTGTCCTGCCCTGGATGGGAAGCAACACTTTGTCCAGCATATCTCACCCTCATTAGTCACTTAGCAGCCGGCGTGGTTATCAAATCCACTGTTGTGGTATTGGGGTGCTTGTGTTTGATTAACCCTTACCTTACTTGATGGCCCCAAAGTGCAAGAGTAGTGATGTTGGCAATTTGGAATATGCCATAGAGTAACCATAAAATGCTTCCTTTAAGTGAAAGGGTGAAAGTTCTTGATTTAATAAAAAAGGAAGGAAATCATAAGATAACGCTAAGATCTACGGTAAGAACAAATCTTCTATTTGTGAACTTGTGAAGAAGAAAAAAGAAATTTGTGCTAGTTTTGCTGTTGCAATCTGCCAAAGTTACAGCCACAGTGTGTGGTAAGTGCTTAGTTAAGATGGAAAAGGCATTAAATTTGTATAAGATAATTTGAGAGAGAAACCACATTTATGTAACTTTTATTACAGTATGCTGTTATAATTGTTGTATTTTATTATTATTGTTGTTAATTTCTTACTGTGCCCAATTTATAAGTTAAACTTCATCATAGGAATGTATGTATAGGGAAAATACATGGTATATAAGGTTGTGCCTTGATATCTGTGAGGGACTGCTTCCAGGACCCTGGTGGATACCAAATTCCGTGGATGTTCATCTCTTATACAAAATGCTGTAGCATTTGCATATAACCTATGCACATTCTCCCTATACTTTAAATCATCTCTAGATTACTTATAATACCTAATACAATGTAAACGCTATGTAAATAGTTATGAATACAACCTAAATATTTTGTAAAACCCTCTGGTGGGATGCAAATTCAAGTCTTGCCTTTTGAAACGTCCTGGAATTTTTTTTCAAAATATTTTAAACTTGTGGTTGGTGAAATCCACGGATGTGGAATCTGAGGCTACAGAGGGTCAACTGTATAGGGTTTGGTACTATCCGTGATTTCAAGGCATCAACTAGGGGTCTTAGAACGTACTTCCCATGAGTAAGAAGGGACTACCGTATACTTTTTTTTTTTTTTTTTTTGCCTATAATAGAGTAAAACAAAAGGCAGTCTCCATGAGAAAGCACTGTGACTAGAATCCAGGTAATAGAGGAGAAAGATCAGACAGAAAAGGGAGCTGAAGTTAGAGAAGACTGGAAGGGCCCTTTTTTGAAGAACGAGGGAGACACACTGGTTGGAAAGCACTTCCGCCGCTCTGATAGGTAATACAATGCATTTCTCCCCCAGAAGACATTGACAGTGTAGGTAAAACATGTTGCTCTGGAGGTTTGGAGGTAAGATGCTCGATATAGCTGACAACGGGTGAGGACCATGTGGGGGAATGAAGATGTATAAATTCCTCACACTCAGCCAATGTGATCTGGCGCTCCTTCCAGGATTCCAGAGCATGTGTACGCTTAATTTAGCCTGGCCCTGCACACTGCTCCCCACGAAAAGGAAAATCTCTCTTAATTTCTCTTTTCTGGCCATTCCCTTTTTATTTCTGTCAATAGAACCTTAAACTATGCCTAGATAGAGGCACACGGTCACACAGATGAGTCTACTTCATCTCTTCCGATGATGAGAGGCAGGTGTACATGATGTGAGATGCAGAAACAGCCTTTGATTAATATTTCAGTCACAGGAGAGGAATTCGGCTACAAGATGAAGGCGTATTAAGAAACAGCTCCCAGACAAATGGACTTTCTGAGTTCATCTCGAAGCATCCAACATCAGATTCACACTGCGTCAAAATTCAGATGATTTATACAGTCTCATTAGGTTCTATTAGTATTAATGGGAAATATGCATGTATATCGATATATGCATTAGTGCAGGCAGATTTCCCAAAGGATTTTTGCTTTGGGGCAAAAGCTGCTATTATGTGCACCTTCTCCACAATGGAAATAGAATTATATCCGCTAAATAAGTGCAGTTGGTCCAACGAAGTGACCACTAAAGCCTGGGGCTTGAAGCCAGCTCAAGCTGGAGTTTCTAGGTTTAGCAGGTTAGTGACAAACTGTTTTTGTTTGCTTTTTGGCTGCGCTGCGAGGCTTGCAGGATTTTAGTTCCCCAACCAGGGATCGAACCCAGGCCCCCTGCAGTGGAAGTGAGGATTCCTAACTACTGGACTGCCAGGGAAGTCCCAATGACAAACTGTTAAGCAGACTGTTTATTCTGAACCTGAACCTTTGACTCCAACTGACAATTGTTCTAAAAGGACAAAGAGGAGGAAATAAAATGATATTAATACAGTTTAGATCTAGGGTATTGTTAGCTTTGCAAAACTGAAAAGCAGGGGGAATTAACATTTGATACCTCGTTCTCTCCATTCTGTCCCCGCTCACCACACACCCATAAAGCTCCCAGCAGCACACAGAGTTCTCTGTTCTGTTCCTGCTTCCTTCTGCCATACCTCCTCCCAGAGCCTTCTTTCACACTATGGTGTGAACATCTAATAGCAGCATAGCAGCATAAGTGTCATCCATTTCACTAATAAACTTGGCCGTGTGACATGACAGGCCTCATGGAAAGGGAAAGAACTTTAGAACTGATCAGTTCTGGGATGGAGACAGAGAATCCAAGAAGGATGGTCATAGCCAAAATCAAACACTCCGTTGCTGTCCCGTGCAATATGGTAGCCACTAGCCACATGTAGCTAAAGAGCTTAAATATAAATTGGTTAAAATTAAAAGTAACAATTTTCTTCCTCAGTCTCACTAGCCATGTTTCAGATGCTCAGTAGCTACGTCTGTCTAGTGGGTACTGAATTGGTGAGTGCAGACATAGGACATTTCCACCATCATGGAAAGTTCTATTAGACAGTCTGTTCTAGTGGGAAATGGTAAGTCAGGATTATGACACCCAATGATGTTTCCTAGGAAAATCCAGTCTAATGGGCAGGGATGCTCTGTCAATGCTTAAACTGAGTTGGGGAGGTCTGTCTGGTCCCTTTGTTTTGGAACAAGAACGTGGGCAGTGGCTGGGTGTTGGTGGGCAGACAGTGAATAAAGGAAAACCGTGAACAGCGTAGGCACCTTAGAGCTAGGGTTGATCTGATCATTAACTCTACAAGGACTAGTAGAGGATAAGAGATGCTGAGGAACTCAAAACACTGGGGTTAGATAGAACATGAACATAAATTTAAAAATTTACATAACATTTGTGTTAATAATTATTAATGATTATTTTCTATTTTTGCCAAGTGTCTTAGTCTGCTTAGGCCGCTACACCAAATTACCATAGACAGGTGGCTTAAGGAACAAACATCTATTTTTCATTGTTCTAGAGGCTGGTACGTCCAAGATCAGGGTGCTGGCAGAGGCAGTTCTTGGTGAGGGCCCACTTCCTGGTCTGCAGTCAGCTACCTTTTCACTGTGGCCTTACTTGGTGGAGAGCAGAAAGAGAAGCAAGCTCTCTCCTGTCTTTTCTCATAAGGGCACTAATCCCACCTTGAGGACTCTATCCTCATGACCTAATTACCTCCCAAAGACCCCACCTCCAAAACCCTCGCACTGAGGATTAGGGTTTTTCAACAGCTGAATTTCTGGTGGGGGAGGATAAACATATAGTTCCTAACAGCAAGTTATACTACTGACATAAACTTTCTTTTCAAAATACAGTTATTAAAATTTCAAAGGGGGTACATTTAAGGAAAAATATTACATGAAAACTAGTATGGGAGAAAAGAGCAATACGGTAAAATTCCTAAATGTGGTTTGCAAAGGACGGAACTTTGAAACACTGATCCAAGGTAAAGGGTCTGGTCTGTTTCTCAGTAGGGCCACCTTAACCATCAGGGGCACCAGGCACAATGCCCAGAACCCACAATGCTTTTAGAGATCCACGCCAACGTGTTAATTTCTTTCAAGAAAATTAAATTCTGGAGAAAAAATACACTTTCAATTTATTATTTAATAAATAATATATATATATATAGTATGAACATATTTGTCTTTATACCAAGACAACTGTAAAACATAACTTTCAACATTTTTTTTTTTTTTTTTGCGGTACGCGGGCCTCTCACTGTTGCGGCCTCTCCTGCTGCAGAGCACAGGCTCCGGACGCACAGGCTCAGCGTCCATGGCTCACGGGCCCAGCTGCTCCGCGGCACCTGGGATCCTCCCGGACCGGGGCACGAACCCGCGTCCCCTGCATCGGCAGGCGGACTCTCAACCACTGCGTCACCAGGGAAACCCTTTCAACATTTTTTAATGGAGGAAGTGGCCCACAAAGCCAAAAGTGCCTGGGGCCCATGAAAATCATACCACCACCCCGTTTTTAGGTACACATGGGAGGAACCTTGAGGCAACGGGGACACAGAAGGGTAGCATTTGCTCAGCAGCATAATCAGTGGGCAGGGGTGGGGGACTCGGATTTCAGCAGGAAAGCGTAAGTACAAATCAGAAAGCAACAGCAGCATCCCATGCATGCCCGCCAGCTAAGCACGGTGTGAGCTAAGGTGCAGTCAGCAGACAGGGTGCCCAGGGCTCAGCCCAGGCCCACCAGACACCAGGCTTAGGACAGTAGGACTAACCCCAGTTCAAGTGATCACTACCTGCAGGTCAGGATGGGTTCTGGGAGTGGAGAGAGCTGAGCCTTCGGGGGAAGTTTCGCTGGGGACAGAGGAAAGGCAGGATAGTCAGATCATGGGATTTCAGTCATCATCAATTAGGAAGACCTATTCGGACTATTTAGCCCTGAAATCACATCATGGCGTTTAGGGACAATCACCTACTTGGCCTGAGTCAGACTTCTTACGATTATAAGAAACACAAATGAGAAGCAGATATACACATACACACACAGGCAGCAACTCCTAAACACAAAATGTGACTTGGGAATGTTGTCAGATATTCGTTTTGGCAAAGAAGTTTATGAAACAATTACCTAACGCACCCTGAAGGCAAAGACTGCCTAAGTGAAGGCTGACTCCAGGACCTCTTGACAAGGTCTGTGATGAAGGGGTATAAATGCCATTTCAAGTTGGAGAACTGTGGCTAAAGGCCAGGTATGCAGACCGATTCTATAATATCTTGTAGTTTCTCTCTCGTTGCCAAGTGAGAAGAATGACATTGATAAATCACCCTATTATAACTTGTAAAAAAAAAGGAACAGGTACTTAGAGAACTGACCAATACACACCTGAATAAGACAAATGGCTGCGGGAAGATGGCCGATACAAGTTGGAAATTAGTGATACCCGCTGTGGGAGGAACAGAAAACGTAGCTGACAGAGATAATATACCAATCTCACGCATGTCCATCGATTCAGGTCACCTGACAGTCTTCTTGGAAAAAAGTCTCAATTACTATTAATATACATGAAAACACCCTGAAAACTATGATACATCACGCAAGTGCAAGGTATTATTATAACTTAACCAACTGAAGTGGAAAATTAAAGCAATTATCTATATACTTTCATTTTAGGCTCAAGTTTTGGGATATTTGGTCAGGACTTTTTTTTTTCTTTTGGTTAAATGGTCTAGATATTTACCACTCTAATGTGTATAATCAGCAAGAAGAGTGTTTTGATTTTCTAAAACCTCCAGCTTTCAGGGGGACTCAGAATGACCGTGTAATGATAAGTGCCACAGATACCTCTCCTCTGTGAAACTGGGTTATTTTGTGCTGGTGAGCGTGTTGGTTTCTACAGTGGCATCCAGCACCTAGGCCACAAATGGCTTCCTTCTTAAACCTCAAGGGTCTCTGCAAACCACATTCCAGTGGTCTGTAGAAAGTGCTGCCCTACACTTTCCATTACCTCAGAGTTGGGCCAAGTTGGCCTGAGGGGGAGTCATTAACTGCTTCAGTGTCTTCATGTGTCTGATTAACTACAAATATATAATGCAGTTCAGCAGTGTAGGAAGCCACATGGGGAACCAGGGCGAAAATTCACTGCCATTTTCTCTGGCAGTTGTCAGCGGTCAGCAAGACCCAAACTGAAACCTTCAGTTGCCAACAGTTCTAAACAATACGCGTCCATGTTCCCGAGGTGGAGTGGCCCCGTGGGGGCCCAGGCTGAATGGGGGTAGGTTGGGTGAGAGGGACAGAATGGAAGTGGATAGAAAAATGAACTTCTGAGATATGAATAAAGAAAGGAATGGATTAATGGAAGGGACCCATATGTAGGTTTCTGGTGAATTGCTGGTGATACTGTGGAAAGTACATGTGGCGTCCAAGACAGCCCATTTTTACTTCAGGAAAACTCATTCTCGCATTCTGCAGCAGCTGCTACTATTTGGATTAGGAAGAGTAATAAGCCATATGGTGTGGGAGAAAGGAATCACACGTCTTTTCACATGGACAAATATTATCATTCCAATACATAAACACGTCAATATAAGTGTTTTTTTCTTCTGGGAGCACTACAGCCCCTGATCTCATTTATAAGAAAATGACTCACTCCGGATGTGCAAAAATTACCTGCCACGGTTATTACTGGAACCTGCACCAGTGGTCTCCTCAAGTTTTTTTTTTTCCCTTATTTGCAGGAAGACAGGAAGAAAGGGGGGAAGGGAGGGAGAGAGGGAAGGAGGGAAGGAAGGAAGGGAAAGGAAGGACAGGAAGAAAGAAAGTCAGAAAGAAAGAGAGAAAGAAAAGAGAAAGAATGGAAAGCTGGTCCGAGGAAGAGAGGGCTCCCTGTTCCTAGCTCCCCACCTAGAAGGCAGCCCGACCCCAGAATGCTCATAACTAGCTCCCCACCTAGAAGGCAGCCCGACCCCAGAATGCTCATAACTAGCTCCCCACCTAGAAGGCAGCCCGACCCCAGAATGCTCATAACTGAGCCAGCGAAATACCTCGCAACCAAACCCAGGAGGCGAAGGTGGAAAAGACTTAAGCTACTTAGAGTGGTCAGTGAAGGCCTCTCTTGATTTTATTTTAAATGTCTCAAGGACAAAGCATCCATTGCGGACCATACATGCCTCCTAACGATCTATCTAGATCTTACATTTCTTAATTTGGTCTTGTTGCTTCTCTCTGCCATTTCATTTTTCTTTATTCTTCCTTGCCCTGGAACTTCCTAGATAAGGTTTTTCTCCTGAGAATCTACCACTTTTGGCACAAGCTGTTTTGTAATCAACCCCAAACTTCTCTTGCTTATGTCTCTTCCTGCCAAGGCTGGGTCATTGTCTTCCAAGGCTTTCCAGTGTCTGGCTTTTTAGGCCCATGTGTGTCCCTGCAGGGCAGACAAGCCCACTGGACTCAGGGAGGGCAGTCCTGGGGTGCTGTTTGCAGGGAGGGACAGAAGGGGCATGGCTTTGCTATTCAGGTCCTGTGTCCACCAAGGGTCAGCCCTAGTAAGGTGGAACCAAAGGAAGCCTCGGAGGGAGAAGACCTGGAGGAGACTGGGGGGACCTAGAGAGCTGTGCTCGATGGAGACAGCCATCCTAGGAAACAGCACAATGATGGACGATACTACTTCCATGGTAGCACAGTTTGTAGTGGGTGCTTTCCCCCAGTGTGCAATTCCTATAAGTGAACAAACTGGGATCAGTTTACCAAGTGACCCTTCTCTCATTCTATAGAGTCCAGATGGCAGATTACGGAAAAAAAATCAAATCCCTAGGAGTCTAGGATTAACATATCCACACTACTATATATAAAAATAGGTAATCAACAAGGACCTACTGAATAGCACTGGGAACTTTACTCAGTATTCTGTAATAACCTATATGGGAAAAGAATCTGAAAAAGAATAGACATATGTACATGTATAACTGAATCACTTTGCTGTACACCTGAAACTAACACAGCATTGTAAATCAACTCCACTCTAATATAAAATAAAATAAAATGAAAAAATCGAATCCAGCATTCACCTGCTGCTCGCTCAGCCTGTACCTCAGGGGCCTTCAGCTCCAGGGCCATCTGTGGCCAGGCCGGTGAGCATAAATGGATGAATCATCAAGGCTAAGAGAGAGTAGGGGCTACAGGGAACTGGAGGATGGATGCATTCAAATTAAAACACCTAGCGGCCCTGCATACTCGCAGCAGACCCATCTGCAGATGCGTTCAGCCTCGGGGCCACCAGGTTGTAATTTTTGCTCAGAAAACCATCACCCTCCTCTGCGTGGGCACCTCCCAGGTTCCTCCACGGGCAGCCCACTCTATCTTGTTCTCCCTCACTCTCAGACGTGCTGGTCTCAATCCATACCTTTTGGCCAATGTCACATCCACTGTCCCAAGTGTATCACTTACAGTCCAGCCCTTTAATAGGCTGCTGGGTGGAGGTGAACAGCGGTGGACCCAGCAATCTGTGTTTAAGCCAGCCTTCCAGGAGATTCTGCTGCAGGCTCAAGTTGTTTTGGGGGTTTTTTGTTTTTATAAATTTATTTATTTATTTATTTTTGGCTGCGTTGGGTCTTTGTTGCTGTGCGTGGGCTTTCTCTAGTTGCAGTGAGCGGGGTCCACTCTTTTTTAACAACTTTATTGGAGTATAATTGCTTTACAATGTTTTGTTAGTTTCTGCTGTACAACAAAGTGAATCAGCTATATGCATACATAAATCCCCATATCCTCTCCCTTTTGCGTCTCCCTCCCACCCTCCCTATCCCACCCCTCTAGGTGGACACAAAACACCGAGCTGATACCCGAGTGATGCAGCTGCTTCCCACTAGCTATCTATTTTACATTTGGTAGTGGATATATGTCCATGCCACTCTCTCACTTCATCCCAGCTTACCCTTCCCCCTCCCCACGTCCTCAAGTCCATTCACTACGTCTGTATCTTTATTCCTTTCCTGCCCCTAGGGTCGTCAGAACCACTCTTTTTTTTTTTAGATTCCATATATATGTGTTAGCATATGGTATTTATTTTTCTCTTTCTGACTTACTTCACTCTGTATGACAGACTCTAGGTCCAACCACCTCACTACAAATAACTCAATTTCGTTTCTTTTTATGGCTGAGTAATATTCCATTGTATATATGTGCCACATCTTCTTTATCCATTTATCTCTGTCGATGGACACTTAGGTTGCTTCCATGCCCTGGCTATTGTAAATAGTGATGCAATGAACATTGTGGTACATGACTCTTTCTGAATTACGGTTTTCTCAGGGTATATGCCCAGTAGTGGGATGGCTGGGTCGTATGGTAGCTCTAGTTTTACTTTTTTAAGGAACCTCCATACTGTTCTCCATAGTGGCTGTATCAGTTTACATTCCCACCAGCAGTGCAAGAGGGTTCCCTTTTCTCCACACCCTCTCCAGTATTTACTGTTTGTAGATTTTTTGATGATGGTCATTCTGACTGGTGCGAGGTGATACCTCATTGTAGTTGTGATTTGCATTTCTCTAATGATTAGTGATGTTGAGCATCCTTTCATGTGTTTGTTGGCAATCTCTATAACTTCTTTGGAGAAATGTCTATTTAGGTCTTCTGCCCATTTTTGGATTGGGTTGTTTGTTTTTTTGATATTGAGCTGCATGAGCTGCTTGTATATTTTGGAGATTAATCCTTTGTCAGTTGCTTTGTTTGCAAATATTCTCATTGTGGTGTACAGGCTTCTTGTTGCAGTGGCTTCTTTAATTGTGGAGCACAGGCTCTAGGCACGCAGGCTTCAGTAGTTGTGGCACTCAGGCTCAGTAGTTGTGACGCACAGGCTTAGTTGCTCCATGGCATGTGGGATCTTCCTGGACCGGGGATTGAACCCATGTCCCCTGCATTGGCAGGTGGATTCTTAACGACTGCACCACCAGGGAAGTCCCCAAGCTCAAGTTTGAGAACCTCTGCTCTCTCCTGTTGCTCTCATCTTCACTTTGCCACGTGCCTCAGTTTGCCTGTATTCTTCCTAAATTGCATGCCTAAAACTAAACCTTGACCCACATAGACTATTATCTCATTCATTTTAGAAGAATAAAGGGGCATTATGAAGATTAAATTAGATAATACCCTTGAAATACTTAGCACAGTTCCTAGCACTTACTAAATATGTAATGCATGTTAGTTATTATTGTCATCATTAATCAATGTGTTATATTAATTATACAAGTTTTTCATTTGGTCTAAGACCAAATGAACTTTTAGTGTATGGTAAGTTTCTACTGTGGACACTCTGTGTCAAATTCCTCTAGAGTTTCTGTCTCTTATTTACAACTCATATATTTACATAGTGAATGGAAAAGCAAAACCCGTATTTAAAAAAAACCCCAAAACAAAAAAAAAACGTGTACTGAAAACAGTAGCATAAATGGTAGGGTTGAAACACCCTCACTGATGTAAGGAAGTGATCTTGTTACATCAGCTAAAAGCTGCACAGGTTTGGGGAGGAAGACGATAGATCCCCCCCAAAAGGAAGGAAGCAATCACAGAGGTACGATTCCTTTGAAGTAGTGAAAGGAGAGATCAAACATAAATTTTAAGCTTTCTGATATTTCAAAGAACACAGAGAATCTCTTTCCTAACCCTCCTCCAATTTTAAACGCCCTGCAAAATCTCCACCCTTCTTCCGTTTTAGTTAAAAGACTATTTTATATAGTAGAAAAAGTAGAAATGCCAGCCTGTGCTGGGTCTGTATTAAAATCCGCTCAATAAAGAATTCTGACTTTCATTAAAATAAGAGCTAAAGGAGGGCCAAGAGGCTGACCTTCACGTCGTTCACGAGTGACACCAATCACCAGGCCTTGGCACGCGCATGGATTTCTCGCAAGGATTTCGGCAGGTGTTTTCTGAATTGCATCCAGAATCGCACTGGACAGAAATGCAGCAGAGGTCGCCGAAGCCACATCAATAATGATAAGCAGGCTGATCGCGGCCCCCTCCGGCCTGCCCTGTGAGCCCACGGAGATCCCATCACTACTGAGTCCGCAGGAGGCAGCGTCTGCAGGAGCCTCTAGCCAAGTGCCAAAGTCATGTTAACACACTGGAGATGGACACTCTAACAGTGCAGGCCAGAGGTCTAAGGGAATGAAATGAGCTTAGGAGAGGAAAGTGGAGGAGAAAAAACACACAGATTTTTTTTTTTTTTTTATCAGTAGGTTTCATTTTAAAATTTGGGATATTTTCAATACAAATGCTTACAGTGTTACATCAACACTGCCATATTTTCAAGTATACTTTTTTTTAAAGTTAAATTGTGCACAGGGAACTCTGCTCAATGTTATGTGGCAGCTTGGATGGGAGGGGACTTTGGGGGAGAATGGATACATGTATCTGTATGTCTGAGTCTCTTTGCTGTGCACCTGAAACTATCACATTGTTCATCAGCTATACTCCAGTATAAAGTAAAAAGTTAAAAAAAAATAAAGTTAAGGGCTTCCCTGGTGGCGCAGTGGTTGAGAGTCCGCCTACCGATGCAGGGGACACAGGTTCGTGCCCTGGTCCGGGAAGATCCCACATGCCACGGAGCGGCTGGGCCCGTGAGCCATGGCCGCTGAGCCTGTGCGTCTGGAGGCTGTGCCCCGCAACGGGAGAGGCCACAGCAGTGAGAGAGGCCCGCGCGTATCGCAAAAAAAAAAAAGATTAAAAGAAAAAACTATTAAAAGTACTCTGCAGGAACTTCCCTGGTGGTCCACTGGTTAAGACCTTGCGCTCCCAATGCAAGGGGCCCGGGTTCGATCCCTGGTCAGGGTCCTGGATCCTGTTTGCTGCAATTAACACCCGGCAAAGCCAAATAAATAAATATGAAAAAAAAAACTCCAAAGGTGAAATAGAACACGTGTATGGCCCCTTAAAGTTCTCCACCTTCTATGATTCACAATTACCTTTAAAATCTATCTAGGACTTTTCAGTCTAAACGCGCAACCTCTTGATTTTCTTCACTTGTGTGCTTGTGATAACTTGCCTCCCCTTTCAAGCTCTCAGGTGAATTGTGTACCTCTTTCTCTTGTGGACAGAAGAGAGTTTAAGTAATACAACTATGTGTATGCCTGGCAAAGTCGATCATCTAAAGCAAAGGATGCTGCCAGGTCACCAGATTTCAGTGGGCAAATTGATACGAATAAAGCCAGAGAGGGGGAGATGTGAGAAGCAGACTAACTAGAGAGAAACTAACACAGTGAGTGTGAAAGAATAAAAATGTTTCATGTTTAGCAACCAATCGCTAAGAAGGAGAAATCGGAAAATCTACCTACAATGTCATGAAAACAGAGAGACGAGGAGTTTTGAGAGTGCAAAGTGTTCCATACGGCAGGAGTGTTGCTAGCAGAGAAATTTTGTTCTGAGCTCTTAGGATGGGCACTGGTGCCTTGAGATTTTTGTAGAAAAGATTTGGCTACCTCAAGGAACAGGGAAGTATCAGATAGGTTTGCTGGCCTTAGGAGTAGATCTAAGGAGAATTAGACTTCTCTTTATCCTAAGCAGAGACAGACTGTTACCTAGTACACACGACAGCCATCATTTCTAACTTGATGTAGTTTACACCCTACAGGATCCCATTCATCAACCAGCATTTCATATTTTTCCTTAGAAATATGCTTCTTTCTCCCTGTTCAACTTATACCGCTCTGGCCTGGGACCCCTGTCATCTCATGTTTAGGTCCTGTAACAACAGCTTTCTGACGGCCTCCAGAATCTTCAGAATCCAATCTATGTGGACAGACTACTTTTCCTTAAACGCTGCTTTTACCATGCCATTCTACTGCTCCCATACCTTCCATGGCTCCCAAGTCTTAACTCCTTTGCTTGGCCTTCAAGGCTCTCTAGGATCTGCTCAAGTTTCTCTCTCCCCGACCCTCACATGC